AACAACTGATGATTTTGATAAGGTTTCGATGACGAATATTGCTTAGGATTTCACATTCCCTATCAAAACTCTTGAATGCCCCTTCTAGCTGTAAACTGAAAACCTTTATTGCAACATCTATTCCATATGAAAGTGTCCCTTTATATACTGATCCAAAACTTCCACTTCCAAGTAAGTTGCTTTCGTGAAATCCATTCGTTACCCTTTGAAGTTCTAGGTGTGAAACTCTTCTCCAAAGAGGTTGAAGCAATGGGCTAGCCTCTATTGTAACTTCCACATTCCTTTTCCTGCGTAGTGGAAAGATAGATATGCAGGCCACTAGGAGAATTACTGATATTATCCCTGGGACGATATATTTAGCTTTCCTCCAATTTGGTTTGAGTGTACCTTTTTTGCATGGTGGAACATGAAGTCGGGGTGCACCACATAATGCACTATTTGAGACAAATGATTGAGCAGAGAAGTTTTGAAACGGTCCACCAGTTGGAATTTGTCCTTGGAGCCTGTTGAAAGACAAATCCAGATACTTGAGAACTAAAAGGGCTTCTAAAGACTTGGGGATCTCTCCAGACAGATTGTTTTTGGATAAATTCAAGAATTGCAGGCTGAGCAAGTCATGAAATGAACTTGGAATAGGGCCTTCCAAATCATTATTTTCCAAAGAGAGTGTAACCAAATCGCGAAGACCCCCAATGGTGCTTGGTAGAATACCAAATAAATGGTTATTTGATAAATCTACATCTACCACAACTTTCAAGTTTCCAATATCTTGTGAGAGAGATCCAATTAGAGAATTGGATGACAAGTTGACATGCAAGATATCAACAAGATTCCAAAAATTTGATGGTATTGTGGAACTCAATGAATTGGACTCTAGTGATAGAGTTCTTAGATATGCGGCTAAATTACCCAAACAGGAAGGTATAGAACCAGAGAGCTGATTACTACGTACCCAAAAGCAATTCAACTAGCTTATCTAGTTGACAAAGTTCATATGGGATGTACCCTTGCAATTTGTTGTAATTCAAGTACAAACCTTGGAGATTCCCTAGTCTTCCCAGTGAAGTTGGAATTGATCCACTCAATTGATTGCCATCCAGGGATAAAGTTACCAAGCTGCTAATGTTGCTAATACCAATGGGAATGTTACCCCTTATGCTGCAATTGGATAAAAAAATATATTGAAGCCGCGACAATGTAGAGCAATTCCGAAAGGAATCATCAAGTGTGACATTTAAAGGATTATATGACAATTGTAGTGTTGTCAAATTTGCGAGATTAGCCAAACAAGAGAGAGTGGTTGCTTCTGGAGTCGAAGTATCAATCGCCAAATTATTCAATGATAACCTAATTGTCTGAAGGTTTGTCAAGGCACAGAGCGTGCTTGGAATAAACCCTGTAAATGAGTTTTCGGTCAAATCTAGCTTCGTGAGCATAGAAGCATTGGAGAGGTTGGGGATTACTCCACTGAGGTCACCTCCTCCTAGATAAAGGTGTTGTAGGTTTGGAGCCCCAAGGCCTATGTTTGCTGGGAGGCTACCTGATAGCATATTGAAACCAAGTGCAAGGGCTGTTATCGTGGAGATATTGAAGATTGAGGCTGGGATGAGGCCATTTAGATGGTTAATTTGGATGGCTATAAGCTCTAAATTCTGAAGATCACCGATCTCGTTTGGTATAGTGCCTGCCACAATTTCACAACATTAGTTTAGGTGAAAACAATATTGACTTTTATACAATGTTAACGTTTATTAGGCAATTCAATCTATTTTATTCTATACAATTTGTAGCCCAAGAGAAGTGAACAGGGCTGAAGGGGTTTTCGTTCTCTTTTTTGTCTGTTGACCTTGTACAAAATAGTTAAATAATGATAAATGATGCCAAACAAAAAGATATAGTTGGAACAACATAATGAAGTATCAATTACCTGTCAAATTGTTGCTGTTAAGAAAAATCGTTGTTAATTGGGTTAAGTTGCCAATATATTTGGGTATGCTTCCACTGAAATTGTTTTCAGACAATGTTAATGAAAGAAGATGTTTGCAATGCCACAATTTGGTTGGAAGTGGACCATCAAACTGGTTGCGGCCAAAATTAGCATACTGAAGACTAGGAAGATGCTGGCATATATTGTCCGGAAGACCGCCACTCAAACTGTTTCCATATAGAGTCAAAAAAGTCAAAGAGGACATGTTGAAGACACTGGCAGGAACATGACCTTTTAGGGCATTCACCTGAATGAACAAATGCTCCACCTGATCTAAAAAGCGCGTTTGGAATTTCTGAAAAATCAACAAGATATAACACACACACATATATATATATATCAAACTATATAATTAGGCTATTTAATTTTATGCATACAATGAAAGGCAACAATATACCGGTGAATTTGTTGTAGCTCAGGTATATCTTCTTCAGCCTTGTTAAGTTCCCAATTTTACTTGGTATCTCTCCTGTTATGCATGCCAAAGTCTCAGAAAACATATAAATATAATCTAAACTAGTTTATTGCAAATCAAATAGTGTAGACACAAATTCATGTACTTACTACAACTGCAGCCCAAAAAAAAAACGAGTGCATCCCATGTAGGATTAATTGTTGGCCATGTATTACTCATTATTTACAATCTATGTCCATATCCCACACTCAACGAGTTTTTATTATTTATAGCTCAAATGTTGTCTCTGGTTTCATTTCAACAATGTAGTTTTTATGCTTAGGGAAGGTGGCTAGAGAGAGAAGGAAAATAAAATGCACCAAAGCTGGAATGAAACAACAGGTGCTGAAAGATAGGGTGGGGAGGAGGTTGGCTGGCTTGGGGAGAATGGATGCGAGATGCGATTGGGTGCAGAAGGCAATGGTTGCTTGCGGGGTGGAAGCTGCAGGAGTGGTCCGGGAAAAGGAGACGGCTACGGGGTGGCGGCTGCGGCTTCAAATATTTAAACATTTTTTTAAGTAAAATTTTAAAATAAATTTTTTTTTTTTTGGTTTGAACAAATTTTAAAATAAATTTAAGTTTAAGCAAATGCAGTTTTTCAAAAAATAAATTTAATTAATATATATGTTTTGTTTAAATTTAAATTTAATTTAAATTTTTTTAATAACTAAAATTACTAAAATGCACATGTCACGTCAACAAGTTAACAATTTTACTAAGAAAATTAATGCAATAAAGAATGTGGGACTCTGATTTAAAAAAATAGGAACATGGGACACGAAATTAGGGTGACGAAATGAACATTGACCCAAGTGCACATTTATGGGTGAATTTGAAATTCGAGGTAAAGAATAGGGGTCGAAATTATAAATAAGTTTAATTTTTATACAAACTTTCAAATATAGAAGAAAAAGACTAACTAAACTCAAAATTAAAAATTAAAGACATAATCTATTCAAGGGAGTTTTTTTTTGCTATATGATGGGCTGTAAGTAAGAAAATCAAGTTTAATAGGACAAGCTTACGTTTCTATTGAAAAAAGAAGAAACAATTATAAATTAATAGAAATATGCTAAAACGTAATCATATCAACAGTAGATTCGTAGATAGGTTGTTGATACATATGCATGCGTACCTGATAGTTGGTTGTTGTCTAGATCAATCACTTGCAACGTAGATAAGTTGAAGATGGTCGTGGGTATAGAACCTGAAAATTGATTGCCACTCAAATTGAAGCCGAGAAGTTTAGGGAAGGACCCAAACCACAATGGAATGGATCCCTCAAAATTGTTGAATGCGAAGCTAAAAAACTTGAGGCGATGTAAATAAGACAATTCATGGGGCAAGGGGCCATGGAAACTGTTGTTTATGAAAAGCAGCCTAATAAGAAATGAGAGGTTGCCGAGGTGAGGTGGAATGATGCCAGTGAGTCCCATATAAGAGAGGTTTAAGACTGAAACTCTCGAGTGGCGAGCACCACAAGTAATGCCAACCCAATTACAAACTGGGGTGATGGTTGACCAGTTGGCCAAGATGTTGTCTGGGTCACTACGGATATGGGATTTCAGAGCAAGAAGAGCATACTGGTCCGTGGTGATGTTGGTTTGTGCTGCTGCACCTACAGAAGTGTACCGCAGCAGCACCAGCAACAACGTCATTGACAAGAGGAAACGACTTAGACTTCTCCATGAGATGAGCACCGAAAACAGACAAGTTCCTTCGAACTTCATCGAAGTGTTTTTGCTTTTACGCACTGAATAATTTGTTGCAGGGCCAATTTAATTTATGAAGGCAGAACAAGTTGTGAAAGAGTGCGGCACATCAGACATGACGAAATTCACAATTGACCAATGCAACTGCATACTTGTCTCATCCGCACGACTCCGCGTCGTCTACGCAACAACTTAGACTTGTAAGAAAAGAAAAATATAATGGACAATTAATTGGGCATGTCTAAGTCTTCAGAAATTTATGTCTCTCAATATATTCCGTCATTTCGATAGGGATGGTCAGTCCAGTCTCCTTCGCATAATATATTTTAATTTATATGTTAATTATTGTTGTGTAAATTTTGCATTTTAAGCAGCAAGTGAAGGGTCGTTTGGTACGACAGACTATCATGAATTGAACTAAACCATAGGACTCGAGCTACAAGCCGCTCAATATACTTGATCATGTGAAAAACTGCCTCATGCTTTGATACATAAGCTAGATGAGAATGCAAACAAGGGCCAAAGTCCTTGTTCCATATCTATACCCAAGGATGGGCCAAAGTAAGTGTTGTGTACTTTCTGAGTGCTTCCCGGCCATTATCCCAAAACTAGTTATTGCGTTTATGGTACATCTTTATATATGAGTTCTATCAAAATTTCGGCCAATAAAGATGTGATCATCACCGCTCCTTTACATCAACAAGATTTGGTTAAGGATTTATTAAGTAGTAAATTTCAACTTTGATGTAGCAGCAATAAGGCCATATTTATGCACCAATTTTGCACATTGAGACAACAGTCTTTGTTGCTCAATACCCAAGAGCTCAGGCAAGAAGGAGAGCAAAGGTTTGACACAGCAAGCAGGAATATTTGTTACTTGTTCAAACAAAACCTACATAGAAGTTCCGAAAGATTCCACAAAGAAATCTCATCACAACAATCAAGTCTACGATGCTACTGATAAACTTAAAAAGTAATTAACAGTTGCTTGCAAGTAACCAAAACTTTGAAGTTCAAGCATCAACAAACGAGAGCATCTCCGATCAACGCAACCTTCTAGCTTCCCTCTCAGACTCGAGCAAGGTAAGGATATCCCCCTCCCTCACTGGTCCCTTCACGTTCCTCATGATGAACCGATTCTGGTCATCCAAAAACTTGACTCTTACTTGAGTCACCTGCCCACGAGATCCAGTCCGACCCATAACTTTCACAACCACAGCATGCTTCACAGTGGAGTCCATTCTTCAAGCAAAAGTGGAAGTAAAATTAGATAGAGAACACCCTACCAGTACCCGCAGGCCGGCACGAGGATGGCAAAATGGAAAGCAACAATGTCAAGCCATGCCGGACTTGGGAATCAAGAGACCAGACAATTTCATCAAGCATTCCGATTATAAATGGAACACAAGTTACAAAATACAAAAAACAGAGCAAAGAACTCAATTGGGTATCACAATTTCATGTTATTTTCCAGAAAAAACAGAGCAAACAGCGCACTGCTACTAACCAACATTTCCAAAGTCTCAATATTTGATAGGAAGTCTCACAAACAAAACCAAAAGTTACAACTTTTTTTTTTCGTTCTTCATAAATCTCTCTGACCCATTTAGCCATGAAAGCGATCAGAACCCTTATCTTATCTTATATTTAAGGTCTAAAAACAACATATAATAGGTTGTGTTGAGTAAATCATCCAGCCAAAAACGCAAACAGAGATTGAAAGTCGCAGAGAATAAATCGTTGAAAATGCAAACAGAGATAGGAAATAAGACTTTTGAAGATTGAGTGTTTAGAGAAGAGTGAGCATTCACCTTTGGTAGAGAGAGTCTCACAGTCACAGCCTTCTTCAATGGAAGAGTGAGAGGGAAAAAGGAGATGGTAATGGCGGCTGCGTCGAGGAGGTGAGTAGGGTTCTGAAAGGTTTTTACTTTATAGTGATTCTTTTCTTTCTTTCTTCTTATATTTTTATGGATCGCTTATTGAAAGCCCAAGACGACGACGTTTATTATTTTTATATGATTGCATCGTCTCGTTTAAAACCTCTCTCTCAATTGAACTCAGTAAGCCCAAAGACGACGTCGTTTAGTGTTGTTGACCCCTCTCTCAAGCAATTGAATTCTGCACTGGACTTGTTGGTTCAATACTAATAATTGGTGCAATTGCAAATGAGGAAGAGCTGAATAACGTGGAATTATTACCTTAAAAATACAAAATAAGAATATATAATATTTATCAGTTTACCAGTTGTCATTATTGAAATTGTGTTTGTTAATTTCATTGAAATGAAATCAACTAAATAAATAAATTAAATTTGAGGGAACACAAACGAGAGAGACAAAGATAAAGCCAGTCCTGGCTAACCTGTGCTCTTCATACATCAAATCTGAATCGTTTAAATCAAAACAAATCAACCTATTTTCATCTGAAAACAGCCAACTTTTTATTCGGTTTCACGCAAATTACACTTCTCAGAACAACCCTTGGATGTCCAATAGGCAATGGTAATCTAAGCGACATCCAGAACTAAGAAATCTAACCATACAAGACAAGACAGGTTATGTGCCGTCATTGGAGTATTTGACTACCGTAATCCGCATTGAACTTCTCATAACGATGAGCTTGGAGATGAGCAGATGGCCTTGTGTTCTTCAAAGCTGCCTCAATATCTTCGTGTTTGATTGGTCCAACCTTAGGCAGTTCTGCAATAAAAAACATCCTGGAATAAGCTCTTACTGAGTATGTCCCCTTATATTCTAAGCAAAGGCCCCTTTGCACAAATTGCAGGATTTATATCAACTTATATGCATGCAATTTTTGTTGAACACTGGGAGCAACAACTGAGTTGATTGAATAATAGAATGGGATGGATATCCTTGCTAAGCCCCCGACACAAGATGGAGGTTATCTCGCTCGTGTATTTACCACCAAAGCAAAGCCTCAGAGCCCTAGATGAACCTATATGTTTCTCACCTTGTAACATTTTCCCGTTTGTGAGATGCATTAAAATTTAATATTGTAAAAGTCTTCTCCCATCTTATGTTATAAGAAACATGTAATTAGGAGTCACATACCATCCTCGGGAACTATTTCCTCTCTGTCTTCAAGGAATGACATTAACCGTCTCAAAGGCTGCATGGCAGCCTCCTTGCATACCAATCGAATATCTGAACCTGAATATCCTTCTGTCCTTTCAACCAACAAATCATAAGGAAGCTTCTCTTCATCAGGCTCCAGTGGCAGGAGCTCCTCAAACATGGATCTTCTTGCTTCTGGTTCAGGCAGAGGCACAAGAATCTAATTTTTCATGGTCAATGGAAAACCTGATAAATAAAAAGACTCAATGCAAAATATACTTGATCATGTAAAAAGCTGCCTCATATTTTGATACCTAGCTAGAAGATAAACAAGGCCCAACAGATGAGAGTAGTTTAACCTTTCCTTGTTCTAGCGCCAACATCAAGTTTTCTAACTAACCACATAATGATCCTACATCTATTTAGACATCACGAGTATCCTGGCATCCTAACACCGAACAATAGCAATCTGTTTGCGAAACTATAACCATAAGCACTGCACTCAACTAACTAGTGCTCTGTTAACAATTGCAAACTATGTTTCTCAATCAAGTAACAGATTAGATTGTAATCGTAATCCATTCACAAGCATAAAGGCCTTTGAAGTAGCCACAACTTGTTTATATAATATGCCAGCAATTACGATTTCCAAGGCTTCCATATAGTTGATTTAGAATCCATGCCAAAAGCATTCGATTAGGGTAAATTCCAATTGACAGCTATAATTGTTTTATTACCACATATCACTGAGCATAAATTTCACTTTTCAAAAGGATACTCGCTTCTCAAGACGCCGAAGCATGGCTGCATCCAGTTCCCAAGGAAGGTTTGTTGCAGCCAAAACAAAAACAAGTTCACTTGTCCGCGTCAAGCCATCCATCTGCAATCTAATACAAGTCATCAATTTTTGAACAAGCACAGTTGACATGTTCAGAATTGGAATATGCAAAAGAGGTTTTGATGATCGGAACATATGATGAGCAAGAAAATACAGAAAGTAGCACTCATAGAAAACAAACATCACCTGTATGAGTAGTTCCGTCTTCAAACGCCTACTTGCTTCATGCTCACTTCGTCCTTCACCACGTTGACTAATAATTGCATCAATTTCATCAATAAATATGGTTGATGGTGCATGGTGCCTAGCAAGCTCAAATAACACCTTCACTAACTTCTCTGAGTCGCCTGAAAAGTCATACAAACATTAAAATTGAAATAGCCAACATAAATTTACAAAAAGAAAATAAAACTCTCCTAATAAAAAAAAAGTTTCAACTCAGGTACCAGTAGTTGTTTTAATTAAAATAATGAAGAACGGATATGAAGAAGAAGATAAATTTCCGGTGCACAATTAGGTCATTATTATTAAGTTTCATCTGAGTTTCCAACAAGGTGGCAAATTTGGACCCCACTAAACTTTCCCCATTGAGTAACCATTTTATGACAAACAAACAGACAAACAAGATCTTCAGAAAATTGCTCAACTCCAACATACCACGCCATTTACTGACAACAGACGAGGCTGAAATGTTGAAAAATGTGGTCTTGCACTCTGTTGCAACGGCCTTTGCAAGCATTGTCTGCAACATCAGATGTTAACTTACTTTATTTCCAAAGCATCATTGTAAAACATAATTGAAGTTATACAGGATTCTGGGAATTCATCTTCCTTTCTAAGTAAATTTGACACAAGAACGTCATTGCATGGAAGAGCAATTTAGCATGTAATGTTTCTAGACAAGCTAAGAGCTCCAAGTTGCAGGAAATCAGATTTTAATAAATAAAATATCAACTACCTAAAACCCCAAACCTTTCTGGGGCACGGAAATGGAAAACCAACCATAACCAAAGCAGGGAAATATAGAAAAGCGAAGATAAACAAACAACAGGAGGTGAAAAATTACGAACCTTTCCTGTCCCTGGAGGGCCAAAGAGGAGAATACCTTTCCACGGTGACAAAAGACCAGTAAAGTACCTAGGGGGAAAAGGAAAGATCAGGTCTGGGAATGATATTTCATCATTTTAAAAGCTTAACCATTTAGCAATTCAATCTGCTTGCCCTAAAATTTATCAAAACTTGTAAAATAGCTGCCAGAAACAGTATGAAAAAACTCTTGCATATATGGATCAACATGAAGAAACCCAAGAAATTATTTCCAAAGATCTCAAGTTCTAGAATAGAGAAACCAAGCAACAACACTTTCTCGATTTATAATTCCACAAGTAGTTTGTTAAACTTTTTCAATGCGGAAAATACAGGGAGACAAGACAAATGTAAGAACAAGCATGTATAAATGTGGAGTACAAAATTGTGGCACATGAGGTGCTCATTAACTGGACCTACTTGGGATATTTAATTGGCATGACCACTGCTTCTTTAAGCAAACGTTTCGCATTCTCTAAGCCCTTGATGCTTTCCCACTTAACATCTGGATTACCACGAACTATATCCCTGCACAAGATGTGATACATGGTAATAAAAGTGACGAAGTTTTCAGGGTGCAACTGAAATTATCCTTGGCCACTGGACAAAATGTATGCAATAACAGTTACATGTATTCCATTGTGTGAAGTCTTTTACGTTCAAAATACCTGGCTAAACTCTCTGCTAACGATCGCACTTCTGCCGATTCAAAAGCCGGCAACAGAGACTTCTGCCTGTGGAGTTCATAAAACATGTCAGTAGGTTCTTAAAGAAGTAGGCATCCAAAAACATTTTTCCATCAAGAGGTAAATAAGATGGGAAGTAACATAAGTACTTAGTAATCAGTTTAGTATACAGCCTTTGAAAGAATTCGTCCAATAGTCTAAATAAATTCAACTGTTATCATCAGAAACTTCTTAAGTCCAACACTTGATTTGTACTTCTAAGCATATTGGAAGCCTTATAAGTTGTCCATGCTAAAATCAGATCTCTTACTTTGTCTGACCTTGAATAAGCATTTTACCTTGTGTATCTTTCCTTGAGTGAATATCTTAAAGGAATAAATAGCCAATAACATGACAAATGTGAAAATATTAAAGGATGAAGTTTAGTCGCGCTTAGCCCCTTAAATAGAATATGGGGGACTTGGCTACATAAGGCTCATCTTTTGTATTAATGCTTTCGCATACTCAAGCGATACCATGAATAATAAATTAACGATGCATTAAGGAAACATTTAGGC